CAGGAGCCACAATCTCCCTGGAAGAAAGAACTTAAAACTGTAATTTCTTAGCAGTTTACATAAGATTGAGAAAATGTCAAGTATCCATATCAAAGAACAGGGTTTGAAGGAGATTACAGAGGGGCTAAATTTCTTTAACCCACTTGGCATTGCCATTGGTTATATATAGAAACTGGGCTCAATTCTGCTGAATGGCTAACCACAATCTCAGAGCCTGTAATCTTCTGTTATCTGTACTGACGCCCTTTTTATTTATGTGGATAATTGAAAGTTGACTATAATTACGAAATCTGACAACTTCAAGACAAACTCATTGAGCATCACTCTTCTAGAAACAATGTGAATTGAGATGTTTTACCCACTAGACAACCCTAGTCAAGTTTGCTTATGGTTAAAGAATGTACTATCAACCACAACATCCCAAACAAAAAACACAACGGAGCAACCCAACAACAACCAATGTTTCTCTTAGAGACAATTGTAATGAGACAGGACTGACATTAACCACAAAAGAGAAGTGAGAGATAATTTGAGGAAGTAAAATAAAGTTTAATAAAGGCTGTGATATTTCTGTGGAACCTACTAAAAGGGGAACTCCAAGATATGCCTTACATTTGCCCAGATATAGATCTGAGTTTGCATATTTTGTGATTTCAGAGTATGTTCTGAGTAAACAGCAAATATACTTAGTATAAGTGGTTAATGAAGCTGCAAGCAAAGTGGGCATATCCTGTCACAGTGCACATAATAACAAAGCTAATATTAACTGAGTGCTTACCGTGAGCAGGCACTGTGCTAAAACGTTTCGCATGAGTTAACTTGTTTAATCCTCATTCTAATTATGATGTTTGTACTATTCATAACCCCATTTTTAGGAAACTGAAGTTTACAGAGTTTGACTACTTTCTACAGCTGGTAAGTGCTTAACCTCAGGTTTGAATCAAGATCTTCTGACCCCAGACGTGTATCTTTGTTTTATCTTGTCCACCTATTCTTGGTAGATCTGAAATGGAGTCCAGTCTTGTGTCAGTACTGTAGTCATTGTCCCCGGAGAAGCTCATTGTTTACTATGTAGGGTGACCGGCAATCTGTAAGCCAGCCTTTGGGGCATAATGTGCCTCTTTTTTGTTAATGCTTAGAAGAAACCTACTTAAAAATACGTTTTTTCCATTAGAGTCATGACAGGTCAAAGATCTACTGAGGATGGGAGGTGTCTTTACTTGACACAATAGGCTTTAATTAGGAGAAGTGGAATAAACATAAGCAAGAAAACCTTTGGGGCCAGGCGCTGTGGCTCACATCTGTAATCCCAGCACATTGGGAGATCGAGGTGGGCAGATCATGAGGTCAAGGTATCGAGATCATCATGGCCAACATGGTAAATCTCATCTCTACTAAAAATACAAAAATTAGCTGAGCTTGGGGGTGCGTGCTTGTAATTCCAGCTTCTCAGGAAGCTGAGGTGGAGAATTGCTTAAACCTAGGAGGCAGAGCCAAGATCACACCACTGCACTCCAGCCTGGTGACAGAGCAAGACTTTGTCTCAAAAAACAAATAAATAAACACACACACACAAACACACACAGTAAAACCCCTTTGGACTCTGATTTCACTTAATGATACTTAATGTTAAATGCATTTCACAGGTGCTACTGAGGAAATCATTCAAAGTCCCAGCGTATCTGTGGCAGGCCTAAAGCTAAGAAAGGTAGGGTACAGGGTTGGCCATACACATGTATAAATAGTAGGTAGACATTCAAGAGGCTGAAAAGGGCACCAAATTTGTTTTCCCCTAGACTTATCAATTGGTCTGAAATTTTCACCATTACTATCACTTATTTGGATAAAACCCCTGTATTAGAATATAAATCTGTTCTTGAAAGGATTAAGACATTAAGCCATTAATATTCACTACAGACAATGATGGTTAACCCTATAGCTGTAATGTTAGAAAAGAACAGGGCTTTGAGGGAATGAGACCATGGTAGATAAATTTTGAGGGGAAAAAAGAAAATTGGAAAGGTCACAGCAGTGGTTTTGAAACACAGGTTTGCAGATCAGACAAGGTGCTCATTAATTTTTGGTGAAATATGAGCAACAGGGACAATGTAAAATTTCTAATTAAAATTATAAATTTAAAATTATAAAATTATAAAATCTGAGATAATGTTCTCCTTTTTGAATGGTATTGTGTCATTTCTGTTATGAGATGATTATGATAGTAGGTGAAGGTTGAATTTTTTAAAATATCTGTATTTGACAAAATTAAAAGCTAGCAATTTTTTGTTCATCTTTAATGGATATACATGCATTCAATATTCTATTACAGGTTCACAGTAACTATGAGGAATTTTTGTGATCATGTCTATTTTATAGATGAGGAATCTCTGGCCTAGAGGATAAATAACTTACCCAAGTTGATACAGCTATTAAGTGCCAAAAGTGTAACTTGTCCTCCTTACTCACTTCTTCCATTTGGGACAAGGATACTGGGCCTTTTGGGAAAAGAAAGATACTAAAAACAGAAAGAGAAATGCTAGAAAAACCAAAATACAGAAGATAAATTTCACCTACTTAATTTTAACAAAGATCTAGAACTTTCCTGGCAAAAATATTTTCCTTCGTACTTGGCATTTAAAAACTAACATCATAAAATCCTGAAAATCTAAGAGCAAAAAAAGTTTTAAAGTTCATTCTTCTTCTTTTCAATAAATGAGGAAACTTAGAGGTAGCTCTGACTTAAAATTCTGCACTGCTGCATATCACAAGCATTCAAGAAATGTTTATTTAAAGCAAAAGACATAACACGACCATTATTGGTAATGCAGAGAAGAAAATAGCAAAGGAATATGTAGCCTGATCAGAACAGGTAAGTAACTGCATGTGACAAACTTCAGCCACCTCAGTCATCCATTAGGAAAAACCCTTAAAACAGAATTAATTTCAACTCAGTGATATGCACATAGGAAGCATTTAACAGTCAATTACTAAAATAATAAATGAATGCCTAATTTCATATTGCTCATCATAACATGGGCAACAGTCTTTCTTGTTCTAGAAATAAATATTTGATGACCTGGGAAAATGCTTAACCAAGAAAAAACTATTACAAGGCTACACTTTGATTGACTATATATATTTGTCATTAAATACGGGTATAAAATGAAAATGTCTAAATATGCTAATTGAGACATAATACATATAGTGGTTAAGATTTAAGAACTAGCATAATTTATTTGGCAGTTTTCCAAGTTCTCAACATTTGTAAATATTTTCCACTACTGAGTCCCTTTGCCACCAGGGAGCCCAACTAAATCCAGAATTATGTTTTCTTCAGGGAGACAGGGGAAGCTGTCATCAGCCACAACAACCTCAGCAGTTAGCTCTCTTGTGCTTACTCTTGAACATGTATTCAAGAATTAGAATATGCTCAGTATTTCTGCTCAGTATTTCCAAGTTCTTATGTACCTTAAATTGGCATCTACTGTTGACTAGGAGGACAATGGGTGAGCAGTCAAATTACTTTTCAGGGTTTGAGAGGAGACAGAGACAGAATGGTATTCTGCGGCCTCAGTCCTAAGTTTCAGAAAATCCATGGTAACTCTCATATCTCTAAAGCAAAGAGCTAAGGAAGTTCATCTAATGCTTCTGAAAGGCAGATATTGAGGTGGCTGTGGGGACCTCTGAGAGCACATCTACCCTGTAGTCCAAGAAACTACCTATCATAGTGAAAGCTCAGTTGCCCCATTGAAGAGTTTCCCACCATGGCTTGGATTTGCATGAGAAACATCATCAGACTGTATCTGATTCTTAAAAATGGATGAAGTACAGAGAGGTAACTTTAAAGATGCTTCCTCATTAATTAGGAATCCAAGATCATCGAGTTCCCTCACCCAAGAGGGAAATTAAAGTTTTGAGGACAATGCCTGAGCCTACTGCTGACTTACAGAACTCATTTCACTCATAAATTTGAGCCCCCAAGGCCTAAAGGAGACGAGTGTGGTTTAAGCTTTCCCTTCATTTTCATTCTATACAGACCTGGCCATTTAATGGTTGCTGGATCTCGGCAAGCACTTGGAGAAGTTCTAGCTGTTCTCAACCTCTAATTCTGCTTCAGGTCTTACATTCTGGAAGGAGTGAGATGCCACTGAAATGGAGGTTTCCTTAAGCTCTATACAGAAATGGTGCACCACAGAGGGCCACAAACCTGAACACAGAGCTCCCATTGCAGTGTGTGTGTGTGTGTGTGTGTGTGTGTGTGTTGGTGGGGGTGGGGGAGTACGGTGTTGAGGAGGAGGGGCACCGGGAATGGGGGTGGGCAGCTAGCTAGCAGCCATTTCAGGAAACCCTAAAACGGATCAGGCAGATTTTGACTTGGGTTATAGGATTACCCTTTAGCCAGGAAGCTAGACTCATTTCTTCATTTGTTCAGCAGTAATTTATTAAGCACCTATTTTTGTGAAACTAGAAAGGGTAGAATCCCATAATTTGAGGACCACTTCACAGAGGAACTAGGATTGCTGGAGGTGATCAGCAATCCTAATTATTAATCCTTAGTATGGGGCTAAGGGATTCTTCATTTAACCCCTGTCCTATACTTCACTCATGCTCTCAAATGGAAATGACCTCTTTGACATTATCATTCATCAAATTTTTTTAGCTGTACTGTATAGAACACATCAAGGCCAACACTATTGGACTGTTTATTAATCTATCAAAATGAGATCTATTTTAAATCAATAAAAATCAAAGATCTTACTTTCTTTTCACCTCAAGTGCATAACACAGTTCCTAGCCCATAGTGGACATTTTAGAGATGTCCATTGCATTGAAAAAATAATAATTCCTATGATGAGAAATACTTTACTTTGGGCTTTATTTGGTTGGAGGCAATTATTGGTTGGATATTTTCTCATCTGCAATGTTTTTGAACCAGTGAATAGTAATACTAAATAGCAATATAATAACAACTGATTTATTTTACTTTTAAGTCAGGAAAATTTGCCCACTCAGGTAGTGAAATTCAGCCATCGGTCCACTGAGTATTCACTTACTTTAATGCCAAAATTTCAGCTCTGTTGAAGTATTCATTAAGAGTGCTGATTTGAAGCTGTTCTAAAATTGATTCTTACAGTTTTTGCCCTGCATCTCTTTTTTCCTATTTGTAAGATCCATGTTATAATTGCATATACCCTAGAAAAGAGATATTACTATACACACACAATTACTATTACTCTCATTGTCAATGATTCAATATGCAGATGTGTTAAAATCAGTTGTTTACTGCAAGAAATAAAGTACAAAATTTTTTAAACATGTGATTTAAACATTCATATTTAGGACTACTGTAATAATATACATTCTCATTCATTGATTTTTTGCGAGCTGATCTTTCTGAGAGAAAATGAGAAGGATTACAGCCAGGTACCAGCAATTACACATAGCACACGAGAAGTCTCACTGGTTTACTTATGGAAGTGTGTGACACATATGACTGCCATCTGTCACATGCATCACAGTGAAGGAAAAGCTTGCAAATTCCTGTTCTATAGTCATTCTCTTTTATTGTGAATTGTAATCTTCTTTGGAAAATTTATATTTAATCCTGCTATAATATGATTGTTCATCATTAGAAGTAAGGCAGTCGTTTTCTTGATCACACTATTAATGCACTCGACCACCTTTTTCTGCAGTTTCTTTCCTCCGTAACACTTACCTCCATCTGATATTCTATATATTTTAATTATCAATATATCTCTTCCTTCTAGAACATATAGACTTTATGAATATAGGGAGATTTGTCTTGTTTTCTACTGTTTCCCCAACAGTGCCTGGCACATAATTGTCACTCAATAAATCTTTGTTGAGTAAAGGAATAGGTAGCATGAAAAGATTTGTTCTACTGAGCAACTCTTACTAAGAAACTCGTAATTTTTTTCTGTTTAGACTGTCAATTGTTTATTAAAACAGAATTTGGATGATAAGTGAAGTAGAAACCTCCAACAATATAAAACACAAGCAAATCCAAAAGTAAAAATGGATACAAATGGGAGAGAAACAATCTAATATGATTCTGTGCTCTGCTTGACAAATTAGAGATAAATACAACTAAGTTGAATCTGGTTTTAATTGGCAGCTAGAAGTGAAAAGATTATAAAAGGCCTACTTTATTACACTAAAAAATAAACCAAAATCCTAAAATTGAATAATTCTAATGCTTAACATAGACTGCTTATGAGACATTTGTTTATTTATTTTTAATTAAACTTTTAATTTTGAGATAATTTCTGATTCACATGCAATTGTAAGAAATAATCAGAGGCTGGGTGCAGTGGCTCACACTGTGATTCCTCTATTTTGGGAGGCTGAGATGGGAGGATAGCTTTAGTCCAGACGTTTGAAACAAGGCTGGCAGCACAGGGAGACCCTGTCTCTGCAAAAAATTAAAAGATTAACTGGGCATAGATCACTTGAGTCCTGGAGTTCAAGGCTACAGTAAGCCATGATCACACCATTGCACTCTAGTCTGGGCAAAAGAGCAAGACCCTGTGTCAAAAAATAAAAAAGGAGGAAGAAAAAGAAAAAGAAAAAAATAATGCAGAGGGAACCCCTCCAATGATAAGATCTTGCAAAATTACAGTATGGTATTACAGCCAGGGAATCCACACTGATATAAGTGAACATATAGCATATTTCTATAACCACAAGGATCTCTCAAGTTGCCCTTGTGCAGCCACACCTATTTCCCTCTTTACCCCAATACCTCCTTAATTCCTGGGAACCACTAGTATGGTCTCTATTTCTATAGTTTTGTCATCGCAAAAAATGTTATGTAAATGAAATCATACAGCGTGTAACCTTTTGGGACTGGCTTTTTCACTCTGTATAATTCTCTAGCGATTCATATAGGTTGTGGAGTATATCAATAATTTCTTCCTTTTTATTAGGGTCCCATAGTATGGGTCTACTATGATTTGTTTGACCATTTATCTGTTAAAGGACATCTAGTTGTTTTTAGTTTTTGGCTATTATGAATAAAACTGCTATAAATAAATATTTATGTACAGTTCTTTTGTGTGAACATAGACTTCCTTTATCTGGGATGAGTGCTCAAGGTTACAACTGCTGGGTTGTACAGTCATCGCACATTTAGTGTCTAAAGACATTGCCAAACCGTTCTGTGGAGTGGCTATACAGTCCCACCAGGAACGTCTCAGTAACTCACTTTCTCTGCATTCTTGTCAGCTTTTGGTGTTGTCACTTTTTTTTCTGGTAAGTGTGTATTACTATTGCATTGTGGTTTAAATGTGTCTTTCCCTGACGGCTGAGGATGTTAAACATCTTTTCATTTGCATTCTTATGTCCTTCTAGTGAAATGTCTGATCATATTTTTGGCCATCTAGTGAGATGAAGGCCCATCTACTGAGTTTTTTAATTTTGGTTATTGTATTTCCCTGATACAATTGGTTCTTCTTGGTATCTTCTATTTAATTTCTGAGGTTTTCTATTTTTACATTTGTGTCAAGTATGTTATAATTGCTCATTAAAGCTTTTTTAAAATCATGGCTGCTTTGAAATTCTAACATCTCTGTTATCTCAGCATTGACATCTATTGATTGCCTTTTTTTATTTGAGTTTGAGTTTCATTTATTCAATTGAGGCTCATTTATTATTGAATCCTGAAAGAACAATATCAGTCTGAAGTCTTCCTCCTTTACATGAATAGGAATTTTTTAATAAAACCAGAATATTTTGCATTACCAGATTCTGGATATTATTTAAATCTTATTTTCTAACTGGCTTTATCTGATGCCACCCTGACAGAAGTGTGGGCACCACCTCCTTACAGCCAGGCAGAGGTAGAGTGAATATTTTGCACTTAGTTTCCATTGTTCTCTGATGGGGGCAGGCTCTTCATGAATGCTGGTGGAGTGGAAATCCCATCTCCCCACATGGATTCCACTGGTATCACAGGTGGGTGGTCTCATTACTGTTGAGTGGTCATAAAAGTTCTGACTCTCCACTAGAGTCTCTCTGATATAACCTCAGTGGGGATGTCTTGTTACTGCAAGGAGAGGGTAGAAATCCATGTGGCTCTATTGATGCTAAAGGGGAATGTGGAACTCCTTATAGGCAAGTGGGGATGAAAGATCTGGTTTTTATTGGAACTTCTATTGGTCCTTGGAAAATTTGGCTGTATCTTTATAACCTTACAAAAATGGAAGTCCAGGATCTCCACTCAGCTTTTACTGATATGGGTGGAGACGGGGTCACAGTTTGAAAGAAGTACAGCAGTCAATGTCAAAAATTTTTGTCTTACTAGGGTACCTATTTCCTGGTCTTTTGGCTAGAGAGAATATGCTTCTGCTGGGGCTTTTTTTGGTCTTGGCCATCGTCATCCTAGGTTGCTTGCTTCTTCAGCTTTAAGTCTAGAATATATAAAGAGAAAAAAAAAAAAAACCCAAAATCCAGTGTACTCACTGCTATGTTGTTCATGGGTCCAAAGGCCCCTAGCTGGTCTACCCTCTCTCCACCTTTCAGAGTCTTCTTATGTTTGTTTTATATATAATGTTCAGGGGAAAATAAGAAAATAGCAATAGAGAAAAGCATCTCTGCTTTGTCCTCCTAGATACAGAAGCTCGTGTAATATATTTTATCCTTAAAATGTTAAATAATTAGATAGTCATTACTGAACCTTCTGAAAGAACAATATCTACATCTGTGTTGTCCAACTGGTAGAACTGGTAAGTATATGGGAGTATTTAAATTTATTAAAATTGAACACAAAAAAATCCAGTTCCTCAGTTACACTAGCAACATTTTGAGTGCTCAATGTTATGGTAGTCTAGTGGCTACCATATTGGATTGTGCAGACACAGAACGTTCTGAGCATATGAGAAAGTCTTTTGGACAAAGCTGACTTACAATAAACAAACGTAGTTCATGATACCACTAAATATTTCTGCCACAAAATATATGGGAAGAAGCCAAGCATGGTGGTCTGCACCTCTAGTTCTAGCTACTTGGGATGCGGATGCGAGAAGATCACCTGAGTTCAGGAGTTTGAGGTTGCACTGAGCTGTGGTCAATCAAGCCACTGCACTTCAGCCTGGGTGACAGAGCCAGAGCCAGAGCCAGAGCCTGTGACTAAAAAAAACCAAAACAAAATAAATCAAAACAGTGAAAGAACACAATAAGACAAATGGGTGAATAAATAACACTGTGAAGGACAGAAATAAGAAGAATGTAAATGTATTCACAACGTAAATTTCCACAATGGACACTAATCCCACTAACATACCAAAAATTGTATTTTTAGTGATTCTAGCCTGCTTGGGTCTGTCTCTAAGACCCTCCCTTTTCCTATGGGTTGATGCAGTTTGGAACGATAAAAACTAATATAACAGCTGAGAGTAGCGTGTATTTACTCTGACATTGCATGCCACGTTCTGATATCTGCCTTCAGCAAATGTTGGACATATTCAATCAACATCATTTTATTTGATAGAGGGGATTCAAACACTTTATAGACTTCAGTATTTTTTAAAAATAAACTGAAGTGATAAGGAGACAACTGTAGCAAGAGAGTACAATTTCAAGCAGCAAAATCAAAATACAAAAAAAATGTAAATAAAATGGGAGATGGTAAAAATATAAAGATGTCAGAACTGGAGCTTCTTATTTAATTTATTCAATGACTATTTATAAAGTGCATGGTATTATAGTTGAATAATCAATTGCTCATATGAGAAATTGAGCTACAGAGAAACTGGCTTCACTGTTTAGCGGCAAAGTAAGGAAAAATATTTAGGCCACTTCCTTCCATCAAGCACTCTTCCCACTCATACTATATGGCCATCAAAAGGCCTTTCCTAGTCATAGCAGCCATATTGAATCCTTTATTATTTGAAAAAAAAAGTCTGCATTTTCTGCCTCCATGATTTACTTATGTTTTCTCCTCATTAATTCATTCTACATATACTTGTCAAGCATCTACACTGAGCAGGAACTTGTAGGCACCAACATATATCAGTGAAGAAAGCAAAAGTGTCTGTCAGAACATTCTAGGATGGGTAGGCAGACAATAAATACGATACATTGTAAAACATGTTAGAAGATGAGTGCTATGCAATAAAGAAGCAGAACAGGGTATATGGGGATCAGATGGGAGGTATGGGCCAGACGAAGTCACTCAAATAGAATTGGCCCATCATCACCGTTTATTGACATCTTAGCTCTTCTTCAATCTTCATCTCAAATACCACCTCCTCCATAAAATCCTGCTCAATACCTTATTAAAATTAATCCCTTCCACTATGCTCCTATCACACTTCCCAGCTCTACTGCAGCACTCAGCACCTGCTTTGTGTTAGATGTGAATGCATCTATCTCTTCATCAGAGCATAATTCCTTAATAAAGAGAATGTGCCTTATTAATCATTTAATCAATGTGCAGAGTCACATATAGTGGCTGGCTTAATAAGTGTGTGCTGAATAATGAATACTAAATTAAACGTGAATTGACAAAGTGCTCAATTGTTTATAAAAGACAATCCTGACATTAGGATTCAAAAATATAAAGTCAGTATGCAGATACTAACTGCCAATCTTCCATTCACACTTATATTGGTCCCTTCTGCTAACATTTATAGGGCTAGAGAGATAATAAATGCCTTTTTCATTTTCTGCTCTTGCTGGATTTCTAATAACAAGCATCAGATGTTAACATGCCAAACAGATCAAGCAAAATAATGGCATCATCAATAACTTAAATTTGTCTTCAGAGCTGAAATGTATTATTCATACAGCCTAGTAAATTAACCATTATACATTAGAATTGAGGCAACCTAACTAATACCATTGCCTTTTTATAGTACATGCTTTTATTCAAGAAAATATAATAGTTTTTCTCTTTGCCAATGAGTGAAAACTACAGAAATCATCAAATTATATTATTCTCTGTTTATTTCACAAAATATATTGCTTTATATGCGCAACAACCAGTAAAACTTGTTGGCTAAGAAATTGTATTTTTTACAAGATGATAACATATTATCTTGAAAGTACTGTCACAAACAATATTCATATGATTACCACATAAAGATAGCTATAACACTGAGTTTGATTACACACTCTGTAGGTATGCTAATAGATGGGTATGAACAAAAGCCTTCCCCTAAACAATCATATGACTAAAAATCCAATGTAGTGTTTGCATTTTACTTTAAAAAAAAATTCACCTTTAGAATTTAAGGATTTAATTAGCACATACTTAGAACATGTTTATAAATTCTTAGTAATTCAGTAGATTGAACTGGTTGAATTAGTGATTAATGTTGCTTTTATGAAAAGAGATGTGACAATATGAAATATTAATGAATGTTCTACTAGAATTGCTAATAATGGATTCTTCTAATGAAGAATTTAAAGCAAACCTCTTTTAAAGAAGGAAATGTGTTTGCATTCTTAATATATTTTATTAAACCGAAACATTGATGTTTCCCTTAAAGGTACTTATTTTTATCCAAAATGTACATAGAGTATATATTTTATTTTAATTAAACTTTATTCTCAATATGCAGGGCATTACTATAGAGTAAAATCAGTTAGGAGGAGTTCAATTGCTAAGGTTAGCATTCTCATTATTAGAGAAATGTTATTATAATTATAGGGAAGCAAAGTAGTTAAGTCATAAGCGAGAAACGTTAACAATGGTGAATGAAAGGAAGAATGTGTGGTCAGAGGCAGAACAGACCTAAGAAAAGTACAGGATGACAATGAATACAAGAGACCATGCTTGTAACTACTAGACTCAATGTTTGGCAAAGAGTATGGCTATGTCTTATTTCTATTTTCCTACTGTGACCAGTACAATGCTGTGTGTGTGTGTGTGTGTGTGTAGGCCTGCATTAAGTACCTGTTTAATTAATTTAATTATGTACAAAGGGCCAGCCAAGTAGTTGGCCCTAGTTACTCTTTGTCTGAGGCTGTGTGTCAATGTTATCAAAACAAGTGATAAATTCAACAAAAATAAAAATTGTTATGTAAAATTACTTGAAACAATTTTAGTTGTTTGACATAAATTATAAATGTTTTTATCACCTGTTTGTTATCACATACTATGAGAAAGTTGAAAGTTTAAGTTGGTCAAGTCTATGATTAATTCTCTTTCATACAAAATATTGACGTTAATTTTTCTCATAATAATTATTTTGATTTAAATGTATTTTAGGCACATTTTCAATGACTCAGTGTGTTCACATATGCATGTAAAATTTGAATTTGGTGTTAGTGAATACAGAATGGGCATTTTAATGCAATGCTGCCTAAATATACTCATATACAGAGACATACATATATCTATATTAAGCTTGTAAGTTTGGTTGGGCACAGTGGCTCATGTTTATACTCACAACAGTTTGGGAGGCTGAGGTGTTAGGATTGCTTGAGGACAGGAGTTTGAGAACAGCTTGGACAGCATAGCAAGACCTTCATCTCTACAAAAAAATTAGAAATATTAGCTGGGCATGGTGGCACACATCTGTAATTCCAGCTACTTAGGAGGCTGACGTAGGAGGATTGCTTGAGGCCAGAAATTCAAGGCTGAAGTGGGCTATGATTGTACCAGTGCACTCCTGTTGGGTTACACAATGAGACCCCATCTCTAAAAAATAAAACAAAGTTTCTAAGTTTAGAAATTACAAACATGGTTGTCTATAATATGGATATGGCATGGGGACTCAACAGAGAGTATTTTATTTGAATAAAAGTGACAAGAATTTTTATAAAACATTTACATTATATGAGTTTCTTTCAGCTATGCAATTTCACTTTTGAATTAAAGTTAACTCAGGAGTGCCAATTCCCCTTGCATTTTGTAGATGCTCTGACTTGCTGCTGCTAGTTTATCAGTAAACATTAGTTGGGTGTTGTCACAGTAAATGGAAAAAAATGTTCTCTTTCAGTGTAAGCAGGCCCACTAACAGAAGAGAAATCAGGTGTCATGTTGAAGTATGAAAAATAAAGGCTTTTAAAAAGTATATAGTAGTCCCCTCCTTATCCTCAGAGGATATGTTTGAGGACCCCCAGAGGATACCTGAAACCGAGGATAGTACCAAACCCCATTATATACTATGTCTTTTTCAATTTGATAATCAAAAAGCCTGCCAAGTGACTAATGGGTAGGTAGCATATACAGCATGGATATGTTGGATGAAGGGATGATTCACAGTGATGTGGGATCACATGAGATTTCATCAGGCCACTTGGAACTGTGTGCAACTTAAAACTTATGAATTGTTTATTTATGAAAATTTTCATTTAATATTTTTGGCCTGAGATTGACCCTGGGTAAATTAAACCTCATAAAGTAAGACCACCTATAAGGGGGAACTACTGTACTTACTACTGTACTTATCCTTTTTTTTTTTTTTGAGACGAAGTAGTGCTCTGTCACCCAGGCTGGAGTGCAGTGGCATGATCTTGGCTCACTGCAACCTCTACCTCCTGGGTTCAAGCGATTCTCCTGCCTCAGGCTCCTAAGTAGGTGGGACTACGAGTGCGTGCCACCACCCCTGACTAATTTTTCGTATTTTTAGTAGAGATGGGGTTTCACTTTGTTAGCCAGGATGGTCTCAATCTCCTGACCTCAGGTTATCCACCCGCCTAGGCCACCCAAAGTGCTGGGATGTATTAATCTTTTTAAGAGTGACTCCCTTAAAGATTATTTTTAGAGAAATATGCAAATAGAATAATTGAAAATGTTCAATAAAAAGCAATTTGCAAGTAATATAATTTAAGACATTTTCATTTTAACTTGTAATATACATTAAGGTGATATATGATCTTCATCAAGATGAAAACAAATAATGAAAATTGTTTTTTAGGTAATATCAGCTCATACCTCATGGAGATTTTTTTCAAGAAAAAATCTAGAACAGGAAATTATTTTTTTTAACCTTTAAACACCAATGCAGTGAAATTTATCTCTTCTTATCTACACTCTGTTCCATTGTAACTCCCCCTTCAAAGTATTTGTCTTTAATTCCTTTTTAGCCTGTTAATCCAAAATGCAATTTAAATACCCCACACATCTTGAAATATCAATTCAAAGTGGCATTTACTATCCAGGCACTTAAGTATTTAGCACCTGTAATGTGCCTAGTATTGTACTACACATGCAATGGGATTACTTAAAAATAAAAACCATACATTGTATATTTTGTTTCATAGTTAAGACTATGCATAGTGACTTACTAAAGAACAGAGCATGCCGGGCTTTGTATGCAGACAAAAGTGCTATGGCAATTCTGAGAATCATTGTATTGTTATGGAGTGAGGAAACTGGGAAAAAACGTGAAGAAGGTAAAGCAAATTAGGAATGCTGTAAATGACTAAAGTGGATGGTGAGGAGGAAAAGACAGTGTTCAAGGTTAGGAAAACAGCAAGAACAAAAAGAGTGAAAAGGGTGAGGTATTTTAGCCGGGGGAAAATTAATCATCATTCTAAAGCAGATTTGTGTGTTTGCAGTAGTGGGGACCAGGCTTTTTTTTTTTTATATCCCCAAGCTTTGCTTTCAAATTTACAACTGTCAAGTTTCAGAGTTTCTCACCTATCTTTAACTTGTTGATGATTTTACTTATAGCATTCTCTTGATCATGCTGTCCTGCATAAGCTTTTTGCATAAGCTTTTCACTCCAGAATCAGAATATCCTTTCTTTTCCTTTTTTAAATTTTTTTTGAGATGGAATTTTGCTCTTGTTGCCCAGGCTGGAGGGCAATGGCGAAATCTCAGCTTACTGCAACCTCCCCCTCCAGGGTTCAAACAATTCTGCCTCAGCCTCCCGAGTAGCTTCGATTACAGAAGCCCACCACCACACCCAGCTAATATTTTATATTTTTAGTAGAGACGGGGTTTCACCACATTGGCCAGGGTGGTCTTGAACTTCTGATCTCAGGTGATCCGGCCGCCTCAGCCTCCCAAAGTGCTGGGATTATAGGTACCACACTCTGCCAGGATAGCCTTTCTTATATAGTCCTATACACTGAATAATTCTCCATTTCCTGTTTTTTTCTTTTCTTTTCTTTCTTTCTTTCTTTTTTTTTTTTTTTTAGCTACCAGCATTTTTTCTCTTAAGACTATCATCAAAGTTTCAGGAAATGATCCAGGCTTAATGTTGGCCAATGAACTTCAGTCTGCAAATGTTTATTAAGCATTTACTGGGAGACAGACATAGAAACAGATGGAAAAGCCATGGTTCTTGCCCTTCGGAAGCTTTTAGCCAGGGCAAACGCTCTTTGCTGCCCCAAATCTGCCTATATTGTTTTCAACTACAATCACAATTTTAAGTTTACCAAAATAGGAGAAAAGGAAATGAAATGATAAATGCTAAGAAAGCTAAAACTCACCAAAAAAAGAAAGAATAGTTTATTTCTGTGAGGCACCTGTGACGAAAGGGTAGCCTGGTAGAATAGTTTAGGTCCTTGCTCTGTCACTTCAAGTATAACTTTGAACAAGATGATACAGGGAAAGAGGGGAACTGATATTTCTTGATTATCTATGATGTGTCCAGAGCTACGACTGGCATTAATTATAGATTATTACTTGATACTTGTAGAGTATACCACCTCCAAGCCCCCTTAGAAAACCACAATACCACCACTGAAAACAAAAACCAGATTCTTCCTTTTTTAAAAACGATCAAAACTTAGGTGCAGATAGGCTAAGAAACTTGGTGTTTCAGACAGACCTGAGATTTCACCCTAGTCTCAACCCCTTAGCTCTACTACTTACTAGATTTTTGGCTAAGTCATTCATTTATTTATTTAACACCTAGTATGTCAAGCATGCTGCTTAACACTGGGTTTTAAGGCAATATTGTGGCATTTTCTCTTTCCTCAAAGCTCTTATAGTTCGGTAGAGGCAGATAGATATGTAAGGAAGCCCCTGTAGTTAAGCAACAGATGTAGTTCTGCAGGTCTGTAAAGTGTAGTGTGGGGTACAAATTAGAAGCCGATCCATTCTAACCCTGGATTGGCAGGTGGCAGAGGTCAAGAAAGCCCTGAATCAGGTGATCATGAGAAAGAACAAAGACATTCTAACCTGAGGGAGCATTAGGGCCTGAAACAGCTTGGTAAGAAATGAAAGTGTTTCAGGGCAGGCTGGAGTAGACAGCTGCAAGGCAGGGGTAATAATGTCTACTTCACTTGTTAGAGGATTAAAGAGGTAACATACAGAGAGTGCTAACCATAATGTCTGAGACATACTAGGTGCTCAGTCAATGTTTCGTTTCTGCTTCCTTTCAGTTCCTCCATTTGATTATATCATTTTCCACCTCTGAAATTCCATAATTTTTATCACACTGTATGGGTTCTTATTGTGAATCCGTTCACACACTAGTTGGCACACTGTTCATGTTCAGTTAAAAGTATCTACCACATTTGATAAAAGTCTGGGTAAAACAAGATGTAAATTTTATGAAGGATTGAAGCAAAAGCTGAATTTAACTTCAATCCTTTTTTCCTCTCTTTCCCTCTACAGTAACTTGAATTTTTTGCATGTGTATATGTGTGTCACGGATGTATAGAGCTTCAGTAACAGTTCAACACATTGGGACAGAATTCGAAATGTTTCCAGGAGGATTATTTGCTTCCAAACTGACAAGAGCTGCTTTTCTGTCTCCAGAAGTCTATAAGATCACAACATCAGCCATACTGGCAGGAGGAGACTTGAAGGCAACATACCATAATAATACAACCTTAGGGCTCATCATTTCATATAAAAACGTACAGTCAGCCTTATCTCCACTCTCAATCTGTCTCCATCTCTATTATACGGTCCTGTACATGCTTGTATCCCCTTCAAAAGTATGTAAACTCTGAAGCCACGACCTGTTTTATTCAACTCATTCATCTGCTCCTAGCTGCCCCAATCCACAGTGCTTTACACATTTTAGATACTTAGCAAATATTTGTTAAACTTTACAGATATTCAGTTGTTTTCTTTTCTCTGCTCTTGCACAGTGTGGTGGCAGCCCGCATAGTCTTGAGATGCAGAATGACAGCGAGCTTGTGGACTTGTACATGTGGTGGAAAGGCTCTGCTAGTAACCGCATCACTAGTGCCAAGGACCATGCATCCATCCAGTTGAACGTGGTGGAGGTTGACAAGGTCACAGGCAGGTTTAACGGCCAGTTTAAAACCTATGCTATCTTCGAAGTCATTCACAGGGTGGGTGAGTCAGATGACTCCACTCTCTGATTGGCCAAGGCCAGTGGCATCATCTGATAAAAATTTTGACTGGAGAGAATCATGGCTATGGAATGTTTGTCATAAAGAGTGAAAACCTAAAAAAAAAAAAAATTAAAAAAATTGTAAAATACCTGTTAATCAGAAATTAAACATAATCCCACTTATTTTAGTAGAGTTCCCTGAGCTGTGGCAGCACAGTCATCTAAGATAAACGGAGAGTACAGCAGGAGGTACCTTATTATTTCAG